CTGGTCTTCTTTTTATTTGTTTGTAGTAAACATATTTTTTTTTTTTTTTTTCTTTATTTTAAAATTATCTTATGGCAAATACAGCTCTGCGCAATCATTAGCTCAATTGCTTATATAGATTATTAGGAAACGTTACAAATTTTATGCACGATTAAGTAAAATTCCATTTACTTTGTGTGTTTTCGTTTCGATATCGTTTTCTCTACAATCAGCGAAAGTGTTATATATATATATATATATATATATATATTTTGTAATTGTAACTTCATCTTATGAATAATATTTCATATAATGAATAATTCATATTAAGCATAAGTACGTTTGTATGCTTTTAATGAAAAGAAACTTATCCATTTATCCATAATTAAATTTTCAAAAAATTGTTTCCCCTTGAAACGTTTTCACTTATTTCAATTTTCCCATTACATATATATATATACAGCGTAGTAAGCTCAACACAAAACAATTGTTGATTTTCATGAAACGTACTTAAAAGCAATTTTTTTTTTTTTTACAAAAAAATTTCGTATGAAAATTGCAATGAATACTTCGTAGCATGACATCATAAACATTTTAAAAAAGCGTTAACTGCGTTTAAGATGAAATAATAGTGAAAAGTAAATATAATAAACAAAATTATTATTGTTTAGTAATTTTATTTAAACTATAAATAAATAGAAAAGGAAGTTGAAACAAAAGACAGTTTACAGTCAGCTTTGTGAACGAACAACAATATCAGCCGCAATTGCATTACTAATCGCAGGGGAAAGAGTACGCTTTCGTGACTTTGCATCAAGTTTGATACTCGCGAGCAATGTTCTAAGCTCTTTAAAACTCTTCAATATAAATTTTGTTTCCAAAGGAGGGTTAACAAGCCCCCGCACACTACAAAAAAGAGAAAATGCTTGCGGTCGCTTCATGACTTGTGACATGTGTATGATGATGGCTGCATAGGTAAAACACTGTTAAAGGGCTTAGGATGAAATGTGGTCATCCATTGCAAAATCCGTTAAAAATGGGGCGGGTATTTTATTTGAATTGATATTTACATCAAAATTTAATTTCGATGTCTGCTGTAGCACTGGATACAAGCGTATTTGTGGGTGTTGTCTGCGCATTTGTTATTGGAGCACTTGCATTTCCAAACTCAGTCGGTCATGGCCTAGAAGCATGTGCAATGGGTGCCACGGTTTGACTGCAATTTTTGCAATTTTAAAAGTTAAAAAAAAAAAAACACGTTATACTGTTACATATCGTTAAACGGGCTCAGAAATTTTTGTTAACTTTCTGAATTCGTTAATTGATTAGGGCCCTTCGCATGTCGAACTACATTCGATGTATAGCTATATTTACAACTTCTCTGCCACGTGTACCGTTTTCAGTACACGATAAAATGCACTTAAAAACAATACTAGAACTTGAAAATTAATTAATGCCTCTAGAACATATACAGAGAATGGTACATTTTTCCACGCAAAACCAAAATAAAGCATTTATTAAAAAACCATTATCTTTTTTTAAAGTGTGTCGAAAACGATACACGGAAAATGACGTCTACTCATAAGCAACTTGGCAGGGAATGCTTTAAGATGTAAACATTTTACTTAGCTTAAATATTTTTACATAATTTACGAATTCATCCATAGAAAGTATGTAGCACCTAAATATGAATCAATTCTAGGTGAGAATTTTTAGGAAAAACAACAGTTTGCCTAAAAAGTTGCGACTGCCAGTTTTTTCCACTTTGAAAGCAAAATCAATTTGATAGCGTTCGTAGATAGATTTTATTCATTTCCTTTCAATGTTAAATCACTTCAAATAAATTAATAATAACGCAAACATGATATAAGCAATCATACGAACACCCAATAGAACGAAATCTCATGACAATGTTTTCCACGACGCGTGTAACCGTAAAATTAGTTTACCCTGAATAATAACTTTGAAGTTTGGCAGAAAAGCTAAGATCCTCTCGCGAAAAGAATTTTTATGACTTACAAAGAGCAGGAAAGTGAGCAAAATATAGATCAAGTAAACGATTTTTTGTTTTCTTTCATCCTTATGGCCAAAGTTGCAAGTACTATCCGACGTAAAATCGCACCTTTATTGCAAAAGACACAAACTATAAGACATACAGGTGCAAATTGACCAATAGCATACTAATTAATAAACTTAGCTGGAAAATTGCTTTGAAAAGAGGATAACAGGAAACATATATTGAGGAAATGACTGCGCTTCCGTAATGTGACATTTTTGCGCAGGCCCGCAAATGTTAAAGCGCCCAGAATGATAGGACAGCTGCTGCTCTATCTTCTTCATTTTATCTTCTTTTGATTTTTTTTTTAAATTTCTTTTGAGCGATTGTCTCCTTACGGAAGCGAAAACAAGAGTGCGCTTTGCTTTAGCGTGCAGCTAATCAGAGGAGACTTAAAAACAACCAACAAATACAGAACGAATGTGATATCTTTACTCCATTCACTATTTCGTCTGCCCTACACTATATATATAGAACTATAGAAAATGAATTATTTTACTCAACATGAACTTCATGCATCATTGCCTAAAGCAAAATTAATATTTGCGAGAAAAATTGATTATTAGTTAAATTAAAAACAAGTAAAACACCCGAGGGCCACGGATACGAAATTAGTACAGATTTGGCAGAAAGAAATCCCAATGCCAAGACATTTTGACTTTTTTAAAAGGCGGACAGATTCAATTTTATGCAAAGATGCGTATAAAACATTTGTGGCGATTTTTTCCTTTTTTCATTTAACCAATCACTCAGGTTATGGCGTCTGTACGAGCAACGCGGTGACGATCAGAAAGGAGTGAGTAAAGAGAAAGAGAAAAGCACCTCGGTGTAGCTTAGTGAATGTACGTCCAATCAGTAAGTGTTATTACAGTTACGACTAAATAGGCTTCAGCGTAATGTTCTCGTCAAAGGAATAGTCGGTTGTTGGTTCCAGTGACCAACTAATTTCTTCATTTCATTAAAACTTTACTTTTGTTTGTTGGAGTCATTTTTTTGCCTCGGGGAACAGGGGGATTTTTCAGATCATCCTCCAGTCCTCGAAGGCAAAAAACCCATTTGTCTCTTTATTCACGGAATTTCACGGAAAAGCTTCCAATAATATTTCCAATGACTTACCTTGAAAATACTTGATATGTAAATAAATGAATAAAACCTGCAGAGAGCATTCATTCATTTATCTGTGTCGAAGTGAAACAATTGCGTATTATTTGTGATTTTGAAGTTTTTAAAACTCAACTCCCCCTATGCAATCAACGAAAAGGATAGATGAGAGAAGTAAAACATAGCTGAATGGTTGGTTTAATTCAAAGCAAATTAATCGACGAATGAAAAAGATAAGGAAAAAAGAGGAAAAAAAAAACCTGTAAATAGCTTGGAGTATATTTAGCGTTTTCAAGAAAGATCAGATCGCATGGCTTAGCCGTCTTCCTTTTAATGTAATTAGATATACTTGTTGATTTACAGTTTGAAAGGTGAACAAGACTGCATTATCTTAAAGGCACTCCGTGTCGCTACCCTGCGAACATGTATAAAAGGCAAAACTCTAAGCAGGAGAGAGATAGAGTAAGCGAGAGAGACAGAGCACGGAAGAGCATAAAAGCGGAGAGAGAGAGAGAGAGAGAGAGAGAGGCTTTACACCTTAAATCTTTTTTAAAATCTTTTCTTCAATGTATCCAGACCTTGAAAAAATGAAGTTTTGCGTTTTTTTCTAAATTTCCATAAAAACATTAAGTAGAGGAGAAATTTAAGTGAAATTATTATATATGCATTATTTTTATTTAAAAAAAAAAACTTTCATAATGACTCCAAAAATTTATCATTTATTTTTAAATCATTAAACTTTTTCTATAAGAAACAAAACTAAAAAGAAATGGAAAACAAATTTCAATTATTTCTCTATTTGTATAAGTGCGTAACAAAAATGCTTGTCTTAGATGAGCTCTTGTATACCCAACACTCGGAGTAACTATCTGAAAGTGTTTAGTTACTTTGTTACACTTCTTAGACTACTAATGTCAATAAACAGATGATGGACGGACGGATGAACGTGACTATTTTTTCGTAGAATTTTTTAATACATTGTTCAGGTGTTTTTCTGAAGGCAAATATTTCTATGGGCGAAATTGATGATCAAAATAAAAGGGAATTCGTTCTAGGTGGAATGGTATCCACCGTCTTGGGTGTGTTAACGGTCAACGGCCTTAAAAGACTTTCTTCTATTATACACCAAATGGACAATTTTGACCGAATTTCTAGATAAACTTTTCGACCTTGGAAACGTATTTGTACATATGCCCTAAACTTGATCCCAAAAATAAGTTTATATAGTGTCATCGATTCTGACGGCTAACAGAGATTTAAAAGCAGTTGAATAGATCGGACAGAAGAGTGTACACCGCACTGGCTTTTAATTAGAGTTGAATGTCTCCAACTAAATGAAAAATCGAATACACTTCAGCTGCTTGATAGTTGCTATTTAAAAATTAAATTAACATTACGTTCATGTTGTTGTTTGGTAGTAACATTCATTGAATTGTTCAGCAATTGCATGTCGCAAATGCTTGAACGACGTATGGGGATCTAAAACCAAACTGTGAAGTCAAAAGACTCGAGATGAGTTATGCATGCATATGAACAAAAAAAAAGCACATTTTGCAAAGTTGTTCAACAATAACAACAATAATAAATTATGTAAGAAAGTGAAATCCCTCGATGTGCACAATACCTGCATGCGCGTGAGCATACAAATGCAAGCAATTGCATATACATGCATAGGAGACAGAGATATTAATTACAAAATACTTACCAAACACTTTTTTGTTTTTATTTTACATAAGAAAATTATTCAAAATCAGAGAAAAGAGTTTTTCAGAATTTTTTTTTTGAAAAAATTTCTCTTTCTATAGAAATTTCAAAGCAGTTAGCTTTATTTGCTTTCAATGTACAGAAAGAAGAATTTACTTACATTTTCAAAAATGTTTTTTTTGTTTTTCTTCTTCACTTCTTCTCCTCTTCTTCGCGTCGTCTATTTTAGAAGTAAATGGTTTTTGTTTCTTAAATCGCGACAAATTTTTGATGATATTTTTCAAAATAGTTAATTAATTTGTTTTCGATCTTTATTTTTCTTTTTCTGTTCGCATAGAGATAGATAGATACCTTCTTTGTCTTTTTTTTTTTTTTTTTTTTTTTTTTTTTTTTTAATTTTGAAAGTAAAATCAAGAACAGTAGAGATTGGGGAAAACAAACCAAAATAAAAATGGTAGAAAAAAATTAATGTGTGGAAAGAAACAAAATAAAAAAAACAAAATTGAAAAATAACGTGTGTCTACCGTCGTTTTACGTAAACGTTTTTAACTGCGAACTCCAACTGAAAATGAAATTTTCTTACTCTGTGTTCAAAATCATGCATACACGACTGGCTATAAAACCCATACATAGAGGGAATCGTAACCAAATACTTACCTTTAGTGCTGGCTGCACCTATACAAACGTAATCACTTTATCTCGTACACTACATTATTTACTCAGACTTCATTTACAAGTGAGCGAATAGGTAAAGCTTGATAAATTTAACGAGGCTCGATTAATAAGTCAAATTAATACGCATTATATTATATTTGAATTTTCTGTAGCTTTGATCTCCATCTAATATTCTTCTTCAACTAGTTAGTTTAGCTGACTGCGGGCAACTATTTAGAGGTTTTTACCTTTCTCTCTTTACCACATCGCTGCTTGCATTCGAATCCGAGCTCTACTTTTTTAATATTGCGAACTTAAACCTTGCTTTGATCACTATAACTGTTCGACGACAACATATTAAAAGATCTTTTCATTAGATGCGGCTGGATAAGATGCATCTAGCAAGACACGCCTGTGCAAGATAACTTAGTTCGCTTTTTCGATCAGAAGGCTGGGAAGTTCTACAAAGAGAGCGTAATGGTCAGTTGCAAAACGTCCGACCAGATAGACTATAGTTATATCCTTATATGCTTAAGCACAATATATTTTGAATAAAACAAAAATGCAAAAAAAAAAACTCTCTATACGTTTTCCCCAAAGTATTATCATTCTGTAGCTGTTGTCCAAATCATTTTAGAGAACATTATTGATAATAATTGTCATTATGTACTTAAGTAAGATTTATTTCGATTAAAAGAAAAATTTAATAAAAAAAAATCATTAAGAAGAAAACTCTCAATACTTTTTCATCAAGCTATTATTACTCTTCGGCCATCATTCAAGTCATCTGAATAGAATGTTCAGTACGCACTTAAATGTAAATTATTTTCGATAGACGAAAAATTCAATTAAAAAAACTACCAAAAAAAACACTCAATACTTTTTCCCCAAGCTGTTGTCATGCATTGGCCGTTGCCTGAATTTGAACTTGTGTTTTAGTGGCTATCGTTTTTGCTGAAATGTGATTTATTGTTTTGGTTCTACACTAGTATTTAGCTAACTTTGTAAACGTATTACTTGTAAGAGTGAATTGTTGTTGTTGTATCTCGGATTTTCTTTATCGTTTTTTAATTTGTCTACGCATTCATGCAGTCTTTAACCATTTATAGTTGTATGCATATACGCAATTGGATTCATATGCTATTAGATCGTTATCGCCTTTCTGTGTTAAGCATTAAATTACTTTAATGTCAAATAACTTCAAAATTGAGAAACATTTTCGAAAAACACGCCTTCTATTATACTGGCCATCAGCTTATTTTATTTGAACTACTTCACTGTCATCGCAAGTTTTCAAACATTAAAGTTACTTTGTCGAACAATAGATATTGTCAGTCCACCTTACCGTCTATATATACCCCGAGGTCATATCTGCTATCCGGTACCGTACCGGGCATCAACAAATCATATATATTTTACCTACCTGTAAATACCTTATAGCTCACCGATGCATATACTACCTGTGTAGAGTTTACTGTTCGCATATTCCCCCTTCGTACATAACGCCTGTATATATCCTAACTGTACATCTTCCGTGTGTATATACCTTACTATCCCTGCTTAACATACGTATATACCGACTGTCCATATACATCCGACCTCTCCTATATCCTATCTATGCATATTTACTATCCGCGTATACATCATCTGTATACCTAATACCTAATATCTGCATACACACCCTGCTTGTTCATCTACTGCCTATATATAGCTTACTATCCGTGTATACATCAACTGTCTACCCGCTATTTGTATACACACTACCTGCACATCTGCAATGTTTCAGTTGCGCTCCTTTGCTCGAATTTAGGCCAAGAAAGTAAAAAAGAATTCAAAGGGCTGACGTTAATAAATATTGAAATCGCGAAGCGTCAGATAGGCATTAATGTTGTTCAAGTTTCTCGACTATTTTCTGTTTCTTTTACACTCAATAAAAAGCTTCGAGCCGTTACTTCGGCAGATTTGTGGTAAATAATAAATGGCTAAATGATTATATCTTAGTTTGTTAATTGTAATTTCTTTGTAAATTATTATTAGGTGTAACTAATAAAACCGATCGGTTTATCAAAGTAATAAAAACTTCTCAAATTTTCTTGAAGTTTCATAATATATTTGTGACTGAAACGTTCGTGGCGATCCTCGTTAAAGAAAAAAAAAAAGAAAAGAGTATCGCAAATTTCTGTTAAACAGGTAAACACCCAGCCAAGCAGCCAGGCAACAACTCAACCATGCCCAGAAACATCTGCCAAGAAAAACTTGCATATTTATTCGTTAAACATTGTGTGTTTGTATTTATTGCAAATATCTTCTCAATTTCGAATGCATGCTCGTACACATGTACACATATACAAACGCATATGCACTCTAGATCTCATACAAATGCATTCGCCGAGGTTTCGTGCTCTTTCATAAGTATTGTTGGTATTCATAGTCAATACGTTCAAAAATTTTGTTATCAAAGAAGCCTTTTTTTTTACCCGTAAATAATACACAAATACATATGATGTGTATGTATATATATATATATATATATATATATATACAAAAAAGTTCTCTCTCAAGAAACCAGTTTCGATACAAAACCACAACAAATATTCGCCTTGTTGTTTTTATAAGACATTACTCGCCTTCTCCTCCTCGCATGAAAAGAACTCCTTAATATAATTTACAAAAAAAAAAAAAAAAAAAAAAATGAAAATAAAACTAAAAAATGTCATATAACTGCATTTTTTTAGATATCTTGTTTAAGACTCAAAAATTTCTTGAACTCGAATTTGAAAATCTTCCAAAATGATTGAAACTTTCGTTGCTCCTAACATAAAAAGCTTATCGCACTTGATATAAGAGAAGAGAGTTAAGTCGTCTGTATCTACACATATCAGGGCGAGCGTGCGTATTCTTGTTTACTTTGTGATGACTGACTTGTGTTGATTTTTATCATATTCGTTTTTTTGATTTTTTTTTTTTTGTTCGCTTAGCTTTAATACGTTGTTTACCTATAGTACGGCATACACTTTTAAAATCACCCAAAAAAAAAAAAAATTTTTAAATACATAACATATGCAGTCATCCCCCGCTTAACACACGGTGTTTGTAGAGTACTGTGTCGATACAAGACGATCGGTTTGCGAATATTAAAAAATCGTTTCAATATAATACGATTTCAAAATATCGTATATGTGCTTTTCGCAATCGATTTTTGCTTCCATTTTCTTTTTTCTCGCTAACAAGAGCGGTTTCAACAAACTTTCAGGAACAAAAAATTGATTACCTGTAATTTTTGGTGAAAATGAACGCCGTGATAATCAGAATTACTTTTTGAATATATTTTTAATCTTTATATATCATCGTAATGTTGAATTTCATAGCCTACATCACTCGTGGTACAGGGAAAAGTAAGTTTGTGCGGATGTATGTAACATCCAGAAGAGCTTAAGGTATACTTATTTTTTATTATACCAATCGAGTCAGAATTATTTTCGGAATAGTTCTAAGCTTGCTTTTCCATCTGATGTCTGTCCATGTAATCGGGTGCTCAACCTGCAGATCGTCATTTTTGAAATATTTTGATGAAATTTACACATTTTCACTGAAAGACGACCGCTATTGAAAACAATCCGCACCGGTCCACCTTTTCAACCACTGCCCATATAAAGGCTCATTTTCAAAAGTCGCCGAAAAAATTGCAATTTTCAAAATTCCTCCACAAAAGTCGTTGGATAGAATAGCATTTCGACATTCTACAAGCATAATACAGTCAAGGTAGTTTTTTGAAGCCCATCTCATATGACCTATCTCCTAACATAAGTCATCTTTATATAGCAAAAAAGTGTAATTTTCAACAGTTCATTGTAAAAATTGAATCATAATAGTAGATTGACAAAGAAATCAACATTACCAAATTTAGACCGCCGAGGTCTATTTTTCGGATACCGCTGGATATGAGGATTCTCAGGAAATGAAAATCCTTATATGCCAAAAAGGCCTAATTTTTGATGTTTTATGATGAAAATTTTACATAAAAATTATGTGGAGCAAAGCTGTAACACATGGGCCTATTGGACCCCATACATGATTGCTCATGAATGGTAAGCCATTCAAAAATTAGTTTAATTTCTTACATATTGTTATGGTCGGTCCATAGCAAAAAAAATAAGTTATTGGGAATTTGAATCACATAGATCGATTTTTTAGACCTCAGCATATTAGGGGGTTCATAATGAAAAACGAGCGCTTACATGAGAAGAAAGTCTAATTTTCAGCTTTTCTAACGGAATCTGAAAAGTAATAGGATTTTTGAGAAGTCAATTAGGTTTGCTAAGTTTGGATCATGCCATGTTATGTATTGAGCACTCTCCAGTATGCGGGCTCTCATGAGAAGTATGCCTTTGCATGAAAATAATGTGTAAAACGGTAACTATACTAGGCGAAGCGGTGTAAGATATCTAATGGTCCGCCTTACCCGACTATAATGTTCTTACTTGCATTTTTATAAAAAATTGAAGTTAACTTACTTTTGCACTTTTACGTACACCTTAGCACACGGTTTCGAGGCAACACGGTTTCGAGGCAACACGGTACATATTGTATTCTTTTACATTATTTCAAGGTATCTTACAGTACGGTTTCGATATAAAGCGAATGAGATTTCGATAC